CGCGAGGTCGTGGACCCACAAGCGCCCCACCCACTGGTTGTCCCCAGCCTTGTCCACCAACAGGTACTTCCCAGGACGAGGCCGCCTGCATTCCCATCGGCCCAACCAGAGGTGTCTGTCGAGGCCTGGAGGGGACACGCGCTCCTGTGTTAGCAGGTGGACCTGGTGGCGGAAGGCGAGGACGGAGCCGATATTGTTCGCCCAACTCAATCAGCTGTCGATGTCGTTCTCGACGTAGTTCTTCGGCTTGACGTGCTTGGAGCCGCTGAGTGTCATTGGCGTGCGCCATGTCCAGCAATGCATGAGCAAGGTTCCACACTTCACCCTCAAAGTTGGTCGCCCACCCCATCATCTGTGCATGCTGTGCACTGTTGATGGGCGGAACTGTGCGAGGTTCGTTAGGGGGCGGGTAGATGCTCTGGAGCAGCGCGTCCCTGTACCGCTGGAGTGCGAAGCCAATCGTTTGAATTGCATCTGCATGATAATGCAGAGCCCATCTGGCAACTCCTCCCAGTCCCATTCGTTCTCGACCATGTAGTTCACCCAGTACGTATGCTACCGTATCATGGATGAGAGGAGTCACCCTGTCGGGCGGGTAGTCAATGTACGCCTCATCGACCCATGGGTTTTCCACATAGGGTCGAAGTTCTGTGATGTCGACAGGCGCCGTGGCTCCATGTTGCAGCTGCATGAGGTACGTGGTGTTTTGGACCATGTGAACCGGGGTATTGGCTAGGATGTCATCCTGACACGGCCCATTGTCCTCCCCCGTAGCTGCAGGTGCGGGTACTTCCGGTACATGAGGCGGCTCTCCGTCCGACTGCACGGGCGTGGTTGAGGTGGTAGAAGTCGTGGAAGACGTAACAGGCATCGCCCAAGTTTGAAAGAGAGCCACGACATCCAAAGTCACCCTATCCCAGTGGAGATCGTCCAGGTAAAGCTCCGTGGAGAGGTTGCACATCTCACCCCCACCAAATTCCCATGGATCTGTTTTCCATCCACTGGTTTCATTCTCCCATCGCAAGGGCCCGCGAGAGGGCATCATCATGGACCACGGTGTCGTAGTGATAGTAGGGGTCATAGACATCGAGGTAGCCAATACGGTCACCCCCGTCATTATTGTCCAAGAGGGCAAAGTCGAGGTCGTCGCGCGGGAGGTTGTCATACTCGTTGAAAGGGGGCTCTGCGATGCCGTCGAGGTAGCAGAGGTTGTCATGTTCGCCGAAGTAGAGCTCGTCGACGTCCAAAATGAAATAGACATAGTCGCCCATAAGTGTGTCACACTGCCCCAGGCCGGGGCCCAAAGCAAGAAGATCATCACGGAAAAGAAGGCCATTGAATCAGCACGGTCGAAGGTTGTCAATAAACTCGAGCACTGACTGGCTGAAGCGCATAGAACTGAAGCGCTCACAGGGGTGGGAATGTCCAGCAGGAGCACAAGCCTAGGGACAGGAGTCTGGGCCACACAGGAAAGCGTACGCTCAAGGTATACTGCCAACTCAGCCACCATGATAGCTTCACAAGGCGTCATGCAAGAGCATCATGACATGTCTTCCCTCATGTTATCCCAGAAGAAGCCAGAGGCATGTTAGGCATTCGCAATCGCGTTCTGTCGGTTTCTGGTCCAGGGCAGGTCCATCTGTTGCAACCACGAATCCCTCGTTCCCCACCATTGTTCCCTGTCTTGAGCTAGTTGAAGCCAATTCACCCCTATCGCCTGTGCTAAATCACACTCGACGTTGGCAGGATAGAAGGCCTGAGGATGCCGTATCCCTCCACTTTTGGGCGTGATCCTTTGCTATCGTCGCCACCATTCGAGGTTCCGCCAGATGAGAAAGCGTGCAGTCACCCCTGGTGTTGGTTCAATCCCACGGCCATCATCTTCAACCTGTCTGGCCCAGTGCCCAGCAAGGCCATGCTGGAGTTTTCGAGTTCGGGTACTCCACCTGTCAAGGCCTGTCTGGTGCAGCCAGGCGCGGACGAATCTCATCGTACGTTGATTCCATTCATGCCAGAGTTTCCCCGTTTTCCGGTTGAGCCGGAAGGCATCACGAAGAATGTGAATTTGTAGCGTGTTCATCGCCCCCAGGTCATCATGATGCCAGTACACCGCACCTGCAACCCAGGTGAAAGTGCTCTCGAGCAAGGTTCGCACTGCGAACACCTTGTTCTCCCAAGAGGAGCGTCCTCGAAGGAGTTCACGATGTGCTCCAAACGCGGCACGCACCCTTGCAATAAGTTCCTTGGCCTGACGTCCTTGGTCCCCATCGAAGAGGAAGTTCAGACCCAGTACTTTGAGTGGCGTGGATGCCGATTGAATTGGAATTGTCTCCCCGCTGACTTTGATCGTGCGTGAACCGCGGTACTCGGGTGTGCTGACAACACAAGTCTTGCTTGTGGCGAGTTGCAGTCCCAAGTCTGACAGCCTAGCATTGACAAGTCTGAGCCGAGTCTGTAATGTCTCCGCCGTTTTATCCCAGAGGAAGATGTCATCCTGGTACATGAGCAGGTCCATGGGAAGGTCAGGTACAGAGTGGCCAAGGTCACCCCACTTCTTGCCAGACAGCAATTCAGAGAGTGCCGATTCAAGTATGAGCCCAAAGAGTTCCGCTGACTCAGGTGCGCCCTGTTTGATACCAGTGCTGCAGTGTGTGGTGACCTCTCCTCCACCCGGCACTTTCCCCACAAGGTAGTTCGACTTAAGCTGCCGTACCAGGTATTTGGTTTCCCGGCTCACCCCACATCCTGCCAGCCTGAGACACAGGAAATCAGCCAACTTTCTCCTGCTAAGAGCGTCGAAGGCGCCCCTGATGTCAAGTTTTGCTACGAGCAAGGGCATTCGCCACTCCTTGGCCACATCTCTTATCCGAGACAAACTCCCCACAAGGTCAGCCGCCTGTCGATTCTTGCCGCAGCAAGAAATGTCCGAAGCTTGCCTAATATGTGGGAAGGTCCTTGCCATAACCATCTTGCTAACCAGTTTTTGGAGGGCTGAAGACATGGCGATGGGCCGCAAGTCTGCGGGCCCAGAAGGGACGTCCACTTTGGCTAGGAGCGCCAGTAGTGATTTGTCCCAGGCGGTCGGAACGGCCCCATGTTCCACAACATGGTTTATAATGTCCAAGAGATCATGTCCCAGAGTGTCATGGGCAGCAAGGTGTCGAAGCAAATCAACCCCTATGAGGTCAGGTCCGACTGCCGCCCGAAGTTTCATCCTTCCCAGCTCCGCATGTAGATCCTCAATGACAAAGGGCGTCCACGGCTCAGAGATAACAATGTCCTCCAAGACACGCTCAAGTTCATCATCCCATGCTTGTGGATCCGGGCCGCAGAGCTTTGAAGCAAGGTGAAGTTTGGCTTTCTCGGTAATCTCCTCTTCCCCCTGCAACTCAACCATCTTGGCCCACCATCCCCTTTTTCTGGAGGTCTGCATCTTTCTGCACCGGTAGGCTGACCAATCACCCTGGAGGATCCTGGCTAGTCTGTCCTGCTCCCACTGTCTTTTGGCCTGCTTGCGCACTTTATGTACTCTCTTCCAGTCCTCAGGTCGTCCACTTCTCCGGGCTGCAGCGATGCACTGTTTGACCTCGGGTGTGTCCTTGTAACTGACCCCATTACGCGGACGGGTATATTTAGCCGCGAGTGCTGCCACGTCATCCGCATCGAGGAGTGGCTCAGCAGGTAGGGGGCCCGTAACAAAGCGAGGCCGGGAGTCACACACCCATTTGGCTGGTCGTTGTTGAAGAAAGAACTGTGTTGTGAGCAAGGCATGGTCAGTCCCAATCCGATGACGGGCTTCAGCATCCACATGTACTGGTCCTGTAGAGGCGAGTCTCCCCCATATGACATCGATGTGCCTTCCCTGCCTACGTGGGTCACGCGGATAATGTGTGGGTACATCCCTATGACTGACAAGGGGAGCAATGGGACGGAGCCCATCTGCCACTGCCTTGCTGACAAAGTAATTGAGGTTTGCTGACCCAGCCAGGATTTCACCCCTTTGTTCACCCGCATCCCATTTGACCGCCTCGTTCAGGTCAGCTCCAAGTATGCAGGGGTACTTCCTCCAAGTTCCAGCACACTGTCCAAGGAAATCGTCGGCACTTTGTTGATAGACCCTGTTGGTGGCACCCGTATGGCAATGGATGGTCCCAAGCACAACTTTGCCTCTGCCTTTAAGCTTGACAAGCACAAAGATCCCCCGATCCGTTTGCTTCTTTGCCACTACCGAGTCGAAGATTTCGATGGCAATTCCCACTCCCACTGTTCTCCATTGATCACGAGCTTGATGAAGAACCCAAATATGAGTGTCGGTTTCGACTTCTCTCCATCCGGGTTCTCCTCTGGCAACCTCCTGTGTTAGGAAGATGTCAACCTTGCACGCCGATGTGGCCAGTTTCTCCACATCCTGTCCACCCAAATTCCAGCTAGCGACCTGGAGGGACGTTTGGGCTCCTTCGGAGTTGTCTTGTCCCCCAGGCGTGAAACCATGTCGTCCACGTCACTGCTCTCTTGCGAAGGCATCTGCTGCCTCCTTCCATGCCGCCCCAGTGATCGCGGTGACTGCACGAATGTCGACCCATCCTTGGTTCACCTGCACATAATCGTCGCTCCTGGAGTGGTTCTTCCGATGGGTGGCGCTCGCAACCTTAAGGTCCCCATGCCAGATCGTACCCGTCGCCCAGTCTACATCATAGTTGGTGACCTCAAGCGCATTAGGGTTGATTGCCTCCCCCGTCTCCGTGCGAGATTCCCTGGCAAGCTGCATGACAACCCTCCTTGTGAGCGAGCACATGGCCGATCTCTTCCTGGCTTCTGGAGTCTTCAAGAAGGATGCCCACACCCGCTTACCTTCACTCTGCTCCCCCACGGTGCTAGGTAGCGAGATCTTCATCTCCCGAATCTTGTTGACGACTTCCCACATGCGCTTCTTTACCTCCTGAGCCGTCTCGTTGTCCCTACAATTGAAACGTAGGATCCCAAAGCTACGCCTCGGTCCGAAAATGGTCAACTTGGTGGTATCCACCAGGGGGGCAAAGGCGGGCTGTTCGAGAATGTCACGTGCTTCACTTTCAATAGTGAGTCGTCGTGTGTCAGCCAACCATCCTCCCACGATCAGCGACCTTTGATCCTCCTCGCTCAATGTCGTCAACTTGTCCACTCGAGAAGGTACTGGCTTGGGCTGGCCCTGCTCGCCCTTGCGTAGATACTCAGCCCAGGGGTCAGCCTTGCCTTCACTTTCCCCTTTGCCTTGGTTCTGCCCCTCGGTCTGCAGCCCCACGATTTGTGTCTTGATCCGTTCAATCTCACCCTCGAGCTCTTCGGTCTTTCTAGCTGTCGCATCACCCTTTGCCTGGATCCCCATGATCGCCTGGTCAACCGTCTTATTCTTCACGTGGATCGCCTTGAGTTCTTTCTTCTGCCCCTTGACCTGGGTCTCGACATTGTGCACGCGATCCTTAATATCCCCCCAAGCCTCCTTCATCTCCCGAAGGTGTTCACCGAGCAAGGCCTTGAGTTCCCGCGAGGACACCGTCATGAGCTGATCACTTCCTTGAGCTCGCTTGCTGGGACTCTCGTCACCTCCGTTCCTTTCACCCCTTACCCGTTTCCTCCGGCCGGCCACCTCGACCCCATCCAGTTCCGCCTCCGCCACATCACAACCCTCCTCCTCAGGGATCTCAACCTCAAGAACCTCGCTCCCATCGGCAATACTGGTAGGACTCA